GGCATCAAGAAGAACCATGAAGCTTACGCAACAGCAATGAGGAAGGCCACCTTCGATTCCAAAGAGAAGGTTGACACCATTTTGGAACACCTGCAGTTGGACGGAGCTGATGACAGCACTCCTTCGACAGTACTCGCTCCACAGCTGATGACAGTACTCCTTGCATTTCACTTCACCAAATAGGTCAATATTACGTATACAAGCCCAAACAATATCTCAATAAATATATGGAAATATTGCATTTTAAAAAGTCAAATTCAACTATAACACCAAAGTGACACAAAAGTGACACTAATAGTGCCACTTTTATTTTGAAACTGCAACTTTTTCAGTGTAGTTTTAAATAAAAGTGACACTTTAAGTGTCAGTTGCAATGTAAAAGTTGTCACTTTTGTGTCGGTTTTGTGTCGGTTTTGTGTCGGTTTTGTGTCGCTTTTGTGTCGCTTTTGTGTCGGTTTTGTTTCGGTTTTGTGTCGGTTTTGCGTCGCTTTTGTGTCGGTTTTGTGTCACTTTTGTGTGTGTGTCACTTTTGTGTCGCTTTTGTGTCGCTTTTGTGTCACTTTTGTGTCGCTTTTGTGTCGGTTTTGTATCACTTTTGTGTCGCTTTTGTGTCGCTTTTGTGTCACATTTTGTGTGTGTGCGTCACTTTTGTCGCTTTTGCGCCGCTTTTGTGTCACTTTTGTGTCTCTTTTGTCACTTTTGTGTCACTTTTGTCTTACTTTTGTGGCACTTTTGCGTCGCTTTTGTGTCGCTTTTGTGTCAGTTTTGTGTCAGTTTTGTGTCACTTTTGCGTCGCTTTTGTGTCACATTTGTGTGTCTTTTGTGACACTTTTGTGTCAGTGTTCAGTACTTTTATGTCAGTGTTATAATATGTTTCATGTTTTGCTTACGTCCTTTGTGATTTTGTTTGTTAAGTTCGTGTAGGTTAGTTGAAATGGCTAAATGAAAAACTAGGCAACTACATGCACAGTAGTATGAGTCCACTGTGGTTATCTATCTTGAAGCATTTGGCAACTTGTATTATGTTTGTTGCGTTGTCTTTTGTGGCTCCAGAGTTGCTTTGTTGCAACAAAGTGTTCTTGTGCATATGACAGTAAAAATATGTAAAAATAAGCAGCACAAAGTAAAGGACACAAAACAAACCGACGCAACGAAAGACAAAACGTGACATAGAACAACTCAAACATAAAAGTGAATCTAGGTAGCATTCAGTGGGGGTCTAAGTAGCACTTGGTGACCAGCCACGGCTTCACCAAACAAGAGGGAAGCAGCTACAGAAGAAGCAGCTATACCTGCCAAAAGTGCACGGCAGGCTTTGGCACCTGCGACACCCATGAACAGGCCAGCAGTATCAGTCAAGCCTCATGCAAAAAGCAAGGCAAAAGCACCACAGCCAAAGGCGAAGCCAACCATAGAGAAGAAGGAGAAGGAACAGAAGGCAAAAGCCAAGAGTAAGCCCAAAGCAGTTCCAAAAAAGCATGAAAAGGACAGCTTTTCAGACAAAGTGCAGAAGTGGAAGCTGAAGGAAGACCACAAAGGTGATGAGCCAGAATCAGATGATGCTGGTGAAAGTGGTAAAGGCGATGCAACAGTAGCAGCAAAGAGGGGCTTGTCTAAGACAAGAAAATACAAGAGGTTGTCCGAAGCAAATGCAATTCACCAACACAACTCAGAACATGCGCATGGCCTCAGTAACAGTACATGGCCTATGATAAGTAACATGCACGTTTGTTTTTCACAATATAACACCACAAGTTTAGGTATATAGTTTGTATTTCCTGATGTTATTCTATAGAATAACCTCAAGGTTATGTTTCAAAATAGACTATTTCTCAATCTAAATTCAAGTCTATTTAAAATAGACTAATAGTTAGAAAATAATCTAGAAAAGCTGTTCTAACTATTAGTTAGGAAATAGTCTAATCTGGTCTTAGAGGCAACTACTGGATCTCCTCCAACGGCAGGTGCATTTTGGTTTCTTTGGAGCAGCTGCGCCCCGCCTTCGGCACCGAGCTTTGGGCCATTGAGGAGGACGACCTTCAGTGGCTGGAGGACAATATGCCTGACGGCTACTATGACGAGAGGGGCGATGGACCTCTCGAAGATGACCAACCTCAGGCACCCGAGCACGAGGCCATTCAAGTGCCTTAATTTCTATGAGCCCGAGACCGTCGAGGTCGAGAAGGAGCCCGAGATGGAACTACCTCCGCCTCTACCGCCCGACGATCCTCAAGCTCAAGGACAAGAAGAACTGCAGCCACCTACACCGGCTCGTTCAGACACCACGCAACCGCATCCGGAATCACCTCTACATCGAGCACCTGGAACCCCAGTTTCTGGTCTGTTCAAGGCACACCATGAACGACAAGGAGCTCGTGAACCAGAGGCCAAACGACCTCGAGTTGGAGAAGATTTGACTCCACCTCTCATGGATGCTAGCATGGTGCCCGTGCCGGAAGATGAGGACCTTGAGTGGGAGGCCCCACCACGTCCTGTGCACGGACAAGATGCACTACCAGATCCGCAGGTGAGCTCAGTTCTGGCAGCAGCAGTCTCACCAGACAAGTGGCACATCTCCGATGATCGAGTGTGGCTAGTGAGGCAACATCGAAAGCCCAGACGTCGCCTTTTTTTCCCCTTCGAGGTGACGGATGCACCCGTAAGCCCACACCGCCTTGGGCCTGGCCGCTTTACCAAGTTCCGCTTTATGGACAAAAACAGCACCACCAATGACGGCAAGTTCAACAAGTTGGCCGACACTTGGTCAAAGGGCAAGCGATCTGGTCGCTTGAAAGGGTGCTGGATTGGTACAACCAGGTTCCGCATAGCACTGACCACTCGCAAGGAGCTCAAGCAGCTCGAGAAGGAGATTCCCTTCCACCTCATCCCTGACGAGGAGCGTGAGGGCCACCGCGAGGCGCTGATGAAGGAGTGGTCCACCTGGATCCGCTATGGCGCCGTGGTCTTGCTTGACATCGAGGCTTCGAGAGCAGTTGAAGCCCAGGTGAGTCCATCAAGGATCCTCCAAACCAGGGTCTGCTACCGCAACAAGAATGCAGCATACCCATGGATGCCTGTCAAGCACAAGGCAAGGCTGGTTTGCCGAGGAGACCAAGACCCAGACCTGACAACCTTGAGGCGTGGTGCGCCATATATGAGTCGAGCAGGGATGTTCTGCCTGCTGCAAATTGCAGCCTCTTCGCCAGGCTGGTTCCTCTTCAACAGCGACATCACTGGAGCTTTTCTCCAAGGAGATCAGAGCATGGCGGCCCGGAAAGAAGCACTATATCTTCGACCCCCTCGCGAAGGTCTTCCTGGCGTGCACCACAGTTGATGCTGGTGGTACGTGGTATTTTTGGGTTGGCTAACTCACCACGTTTGTTTTGGAGGCACCTTCGTGACTCCCTCCTCAAGATGGGCTTCCGCCAGAGCACCTTGGACAGGGCCATGTTTTTCTACTATAAGGACGAGCGCTTGATCCTGGCCCTGGGAGCTCATGTCGATGATTTGCTCGGCACTGGAGAGCCAGGCGCTGCTGACGAGATTATGGACCAGATCCGGAACACCTTCGACTTCGGCGCTTGGGCCGACAGCAGGACAGATGAGGTGTTGGAATATGGTGGCAGGCAGATTCGCCAGAAGCCTGATGGCTCCATTTGGTTGAACCAGGAGAAGTTCATCAAGGCCACCAACGTCACACCTATCCCCAAGTGGAGGTCTTCAACGCCCAACGCACCGCTCTTGGCTTCAGAGCTGACGGAACTCAGATCCGTCGGAGGATGCCTACATTGGGTTGTTGGCCAGACAAGGCCAGACTTGGCTGCTGGCACCTCACTGCACATGTCAGGACAGCCGACCGTGGACAGTCTGATGCAGCTGAACAAGCTCCTCAAGGAAGCAAAAGCTTCAGAAGATTGGGCACTTCAGTTCAGGCCCATAGACTTGGAGCGGGCTCGCATCATCGTCTACTCCGATGCCAGCTTCGCAAACAGCGAAGGCCTGCGTTCTCAGGCCGGCTATACCTGGTCTTCGTGGCCGAGGACGCCGCTTTGGAAGCTGCTGGTGGCTTGGCAAGCCTGATGGATTGGAGAAGCCACAAGATAAAGAGACAGTGCAGGTCGACACTGGCCGCCGACTCTATGTCCGGGAGATCTTCGCGGAGGCCTTGGTCTTCGGCTACGTCCCCTCTCAGTCAGGACGGCTTCCGGCTGACTTCATGCCGATGGCTGCAGCGACAGACTGCAGGAGCCTCTATGACCTGCTTACCAAGGATGGCTCGCTCTCCACGACTCAGGAGAAGCGCTTGGCAATAGACCTGGGAGGTCTCAAAGAGACGGCTGCCGAATTCGATGAGCAGATGGAACAGCTTGCTGAAGTGTACAAGTGGGTGGACACCCACCATCAGCTCGCTGATCTCCTCACGAAGCAGAAGCCGACACGCCTTCAGCGTAGCATTTTGGACGATGGCAGGATTGCACTGAAGTCGATCGATCCTAAGGAATCTCACGAATTGAAAGATGACAGGGAGTGCAATCTTGGCATGCGTTCATGAGCACTGACCCTGTGAATCCCGACGCCACAGGGCCCTTGAGCGTAGGCAAAAGTGGGCTGCGCATCGCCCGCGCCGTGTTTCATGTTGGTGTGTGCAACCACCCCCCTGAGCTTTTGAGAGCCAAGCTCCACAAACCCTGCATTTGAAAGGGTTCAACTGCATGATCAACCATGCGTACCCGCAAAGAACACACAGTCGAACCTATGCCTTCCCACCGATTATTTCATGCCCAGCTTATGCTTTTGATGTGCCTCTCTTTGGAAGAGGCCTCTAGTCTTGAATATTGGATACACTCTATATAGCCTATAGCCGGAATGCATTCATTTTGTCTATATAATATAGTACACACATGTTTCTATTTGTTTACACAAATTCATTGAGGCTTCCGCACACCGGTTCTTTCCTTGTGAGCATGAGAAATATTCCAGAGACAGGGCCCAACCCTGAGGAAAATATTCTCAATGTGGATCAGCTGGAACTCACAAATGTGCCCTGGTGCGTTGTGCATGCCACACTCAGGAATTCAAAACACTGCAAGAACCTGGGCAAGTTTCAGAAATGCAGCGTTCAACACAAGTGTGAGTGGCAGCCAAGCGGGCCAAGCGGTTGGTCTTAATCTGGCTGAAACCTTTGGAACGCAATGCGGCCCACCATCTACAAAATCTGGGCATTTAGCTTGTGGCGTCGTTGGTTGTTGTTGTTGTTGTAGATTTGGCAAGGACATGCGTTACTTCATCCAGGCAGCACTGAACAGCATGTTGACACAAAACCTAAGCAGCTCAGCTCAACAGTCAACATTGTGCAGACCTCAACTTTTGGGTCCGCGGGTCGGTGCCTGCACCTTGGGCAAACACAAGACTTGTTTAAAACACAGTCTTGGTATTCTGGGACACCTTCTGGCAAACCTGTGCACGTGAGAGTTACAGGGTATCCGAACCAACCCCACGAACCAATCAACTTCAGGGCATTGCAGGAGCAAAGCTCATCCTAAAACAATCTCGTCATGTAAATTTATTGTTGTTTCATGTTGTTGATGAGGTTCGTGCAGGGCTCCTTGGTGATGAGGATTAATGTCGATGGGTAACATCACACAACACACACACACGCGGGTTCCGTTGTTTCGGTGATCACGTGTGACCAATATAAAGTTTGTGCAGCGCGATGATGTGTTTCTCTTTTATATTAGCCACCACTATGTGTTGGTGTGATGCAGTGGGATTTGTAAGCCAAAGTCCTGAGGAAACTTTTTCCAGAAAATCTATTGGAAGAGCATCTTCGGAGCAAAGACCTCCAAATCCAGAAGCGCCAGAAGATATGCTTTGAGCGCGTTGCGCCCTGCATGCAGCGGCGGAACCACTACTGCCACCTGGTTCTCTCAAAACCTACCACGTCCCCCAGTCTTCCAACAAAGTCATGAGGATGGAGTCCGTCGGAAGATGTTTGGGCCTATGGCCTGTGGGAATGGTTATATGTAGATTTCTCGCTTGAAATTCTTGCCAAATTTCTGGGCAATGCATCCAACTTCAGAATGGAGATTCCGTGAAACATGCTCCAGAACTACGGATTCCTTTTCATTTTTTAAACTATACGATCGTTATGTGTAACATTGTGTAACACTATTTGTACAAGATGTTGCAACATGTGAAATGTTGCTTGTATTGTATTCTGAGGCAGCAAGTACAAGCAGCACCAGCGCGGATATTTTCAGTCTCATCCAAGGGATTTCTTGAAGGGTGACAGAGACTTCTTCTTGACAGCTTCCGGGTCCGAGACCCAGAGCGAGTGCAGTTGAGGTTTTCGACTTTGATTGGTGAATCGGGCCTGGCAGTGCATTTCATAAGCGGAGTGGTTGGAGACCTGGGAAGACGTAACTTTTCCCACTTATACAATTCTTAGAAGCACATACAGGTGCGAGACGATGCAAAGAGGAGAACTATCACAGTCAAAACTCCCATCGCACGTGGCATTTGACAGCTGCTTCAGACAACTGCTGCAAATCGAAACCAAAACGCCACACTTGAGAGAAGTAGAATCTACACTGCAATTAGAACAGTCAACAAGGGAGATGTTTAATCAAATCAAAGGGATCTATATTTTGGCATCTAGAGTCACTGAGGCTCAACGGTTTGAGTTCAGCTGCTGGAGGTTCTTTGTTTTATTTGTATTAAGTACCCCCTTTCCAGCTTGCCAGCAAATCGGGCACAGAGACCTGGCCTGTGGCCCAAACAGCAAGCTCATCAAAGACAAAAACGAAAGGCTTGATCATCATAATAGTGTTTCTTGTTCCTTCAATGCTCCATTTAGTAGTGCTCGACTGAGTGAGCGGGATCAATCTGAGTAAACAGTCAGAAAAGATACTGTACACAAGTCTCCTGCTTGGAAGCATTGTACAATCCATCTGAATCTGGTGTAGCAGCCACTGAGCTTCCTCATTTGTGTCATTTCTGGGTCTGTGGCTTGGATACTGTAGAACGAACGGCCTGTCAACCATGCACAATCATGCGCGGTTGCCGCTCTTGCGGCTTCAAGCGCACACGAAAAGCTGTTTTCGCCCAAGATGCCCAGCTCAGAAAAATATCAACCTTATTTGATCTTATTTGCTAGTTTTGAAGACACTCAAGCTTCGAAGGTCCTACGCAGATTACGACACAATTCTGGCAGCCCGTGTTGTGCACTTCTTTTTGTCTGAAGCAGTGCGATTGGGGCATCCGCCGCGGCTGGTCGATATGGGTTGTGGCCGCGGCTCCTACGTGGAGGTCTTCAAATCTTGGGGCTTCCCAGTGATTGGAATCGATGGGAATGCTGTGATCACTCGGTCTATCGCTAAACATTCCTTCCTGTGGGATCTCACTGATCGTATTGACCTAAAACGAGCCTTTGAGAATGACAAGCGGCTGTGCAACTTCTTCCATTTGACACATAACAGCAAGGAAGAGCAGGACCCCAGAGTGTGGTTAGTGTTTTGAGAAACGTGCTGAAAACATCTGAAAACTGATGCTCTCACTGTTCCTCAACGAATCCAAATATATGGTCTTCGCCCCGAATTTAAAGACGGTCACCCTTCCGGTTTGAATCCGCAGCTTCTCGGCTCTGCGGATGGGCCTATGGCACACGAGTGGGACACTTGCTCGTGTGTCTTGTGCCTGTCCTTCCGCCGGATCTTTAACCTCCTGTATACAGAGGAGGCTAGCGGGCTCTTCAACGGAAGGGCGTGGAGCTGTTGCGAGTGGTCCACTCCCAGCTCCTGGACTTCAAGGAAGGGGGAGAGGTTGAGGCTGCCACCTCAGCCACTCCCGGTCTCCCGAGTGGGAGACACTGGCTCCAAGGGAGTGAAGCAGGAGCCTACGTCAGAGGAGAAGGAGAACGTGGACGAGCCCGACAAGGCCAAGCCAGTTGAGACCCCTGTGGAAAAAGGGGAGACCAGCCCATCAAAAGATCGCGCACCAGACACTTGTGGAGAGAAGGCTTCTGAGGACACAGGTGAAGGAGCTTCAACCGCCCGAGAAAGTGCACCCAGCAAGAAGGAGAGAACCAGGTCATCACGAGATCGTGAACATCGCCGCCGACGAGACAGGGAAGAGGAAGTGACCGAGGGAGCAGACAAGCGCCCCCGTAGTCGACACAGGAGAAGGCAGCGCCGCGCATCCAGCAAGGCGAAAAGTCCCGAGAAGGGACAGCCAGAGAACCATTCCCTCCCGAAAGAACAGGGGGAAGGATTCCAGGGACAGGAAGTCCCCCCATACACCAGCCCAGAGCCCGGTCCGCCGCTCGCCACAGGGATCATTGCCATCCCGTCCATCCAGTCTCACCAACGCTCAGAAAAAAGCGATCCCTCCTCCACCAAAGCCGCCGCCAGTTCGAGCCCCCAGAGAGCCGGACTATCCATTTGCGGGGTATTCCAGCTGGGCTGACACCGACGTCCGGTCCAAGTCCCAAGCCTATAGGGATCCACCCCCCAACAAAGGAAAGAAGAAGGACGAGCGCAACCACAACTTCAGGTTGTGGCGTGAGTACGAAAGGGGCTACTACTGAGCAAGATGCCGCCTCGCAGGCGACCAGCAGCGGACCTTGCTCGGGGACGCGTGGGGGTGCTTCGCAGGCCAGCAGCAGTGGTGCCTTCGGAGGATCCGGGCTCCCGAGAACCAGCGTGGGAGCCGTTGAGCAAGATTGCATTGAGCAACATCAACAAGAGGCTGAAGGTGATCGTGGACGGCATGTACTGGGAGTCTCCCGTTTTGGTTGCAGGGGAGACGAAAGGAGTTGTGATGCAGGGACGCCACATGGAGAGTTTGGATCACAGGGACTCAAAGCGAATCTTTGCTACGGGAAGTTGGAGGCCGATGCAAAGAGATGAGGATTCATCTGCGCCCGGAGCCTTGCGACAAGTTGGTGTGGTCCAAAGATTTGATCCACGGCCTCCGCTACCGTGCGCAAGAAGGTCCAGCAGAGGACTGGTGGACGAACTTGGAGGAAGTCCCAAGAGAGCGAGACCGAGCAGATCCTGGAGGAGCCGATCCCCTACGTCGGTTGCGAGAGGAGATGGACGAGCGCGAGAAGGAGGGAGAGGTCCGCTACTCTCCCGAAGCTGCAGTGCCTCCCGGCGGGACAGGGGAGGTCGGCGAGGAGAAACGGGGCCGAAAGAGAAAACGCAAGAAGTCGCGTGTGAAGGTGCTGTTGGAGGCTCCCCTCAAGGACGTCTTCAAGCGCACCGCCTTTGACCCGGACCTCGACGTTCGCCAGGAGCTCATGAAGCGTGCCAGGAGGATCAGGAAAGGCAAGAAGAAAAAGAAGAAGGGATCACGATCGAGGAGTCGGGGTTACGGAGGACAGCTCAAGCCTGGGCGAGCGCCACATAGCGACAGCCGACTTGTTCGAGAGCGAGCGCAGGTCATGGAAGATTTGGCGCCGTGTTCCAGGAGCATTGACCAATGCGGCCATCGCGGACATGCAAGACCAGATGATGACCGCCTCAGGCTACGTCAATCGCCCTGCAGAGGTGGGAGCGGTGGCACCATGACGCGTGGGGCTTTGGGGCATGGGAGGTCCGACGAATCGATCAAGTGATCTTCAAAATGATCCAGGTAATGAAGGGTTCCTTGCGTACAGAAGTCCCTCAAATCCAGTTGTCCTACTTCGTCCGGCAGTCTGAGCAACTCGAACTTCCTCCCCGTCATAGGTCACACCCCGTTTTGCGAAGGAATCTCCAAAGTCCAGGTTCCCCAATGTCACGTCCCACACTTTGAAGCGCTCACAAACCTCAACCAAGTTTTCGACGATCCCACAAGGCTCACGTTTGGGTCGAAGTCCTTCCCCCTTGCCGCCTTGCCGCAGGCGAAGAGGTTCAATCCGTAAATGCCCGCGCACGCCAGCTCTGACTTGGCCCCTGGCTTCAGGGGTAGAGGAAGTGGGAATATATCATCAGCTAGATGGGCGGAATCTTCTACCGTGTTCTGCCTGCGCTCACTCTCAACGACATACAACTTAGACCTGGCCAGGGACATGAGCTGTCGGAAATCGCGTGGTGAAACTTTCTGCTGTACAGCCAGCTGTCTTCTGCCCCTTGGGCCGTCTCACCTTCAAAGCCAACCACCCGACCTACGCCTGGGCAGTCCGCCGACTTTACTCCTCCAGTGCAGGAATTTGACAATGAATTCAACTGTAGATCTCTTCGATCACGTAGTGCCGTGGGCTCCACTGCGCCTGCCAACACAGATTGAGCCAAAGGAACATCGGTTGTTCCGTGAAACTGTTCAAACCCATCTTTTTGTCTCGATCGCTTCAATGCACGCACAACTTCAACCGGGAGAGTCACCCTCTTGGACTCCCTCCCCCACACCCATCTCTGGTCCAGCAACTCCTCTCTCTCGCCTCACTCTTTGTCGCCTTTGTCGTCCTTCTTCTTTCCTTCTCCCTTTCGGCCGCCCTTGTCGCGAAACTTGCCATCTCCTTTTCCTTTGTCTCTCTTTCCTTTTTCTTTGCCTTTTGAACCCTTGTAGGAATCCCGATCTACCCAATGCCAGCGACTTGCGTTTCTCCTCATGATGCGCTCCTCGGTCTGCATCTCTCTGCCCGCTTCGCCTGCCTCCGGCATGCTCAGAAGGGTCGGCTTCTCTGCACCGACGAGTTCCAACCTCCTGGCCACGTCTATGGCCGTTCCTCTGGCCATGGCCTCTAGGGCCTTCAGACGCTGGCTTGCCACGTCTAGCGCGGCAGCTGTGCGACCTCGGAGGCTTAGGTCGAGGATCGTCGCCAGGTGCAAGGACTCCCTGGCTATTGCTTGGCCCAATCCATTTGTGAGGGCCTCATCGAGAAGAACATCTGCGAAGTTATGCCCGTGGACGACCTCTTCCACATCAACCAGGTGCCTTTGCTCAACGGGATGTTTGGGGTTGGCAAGGGTGAGTTTATTGGAGAGATTGAAACACAACGGCTAATTAGACTGTGTGAACCTCTAGTGGGAGACGTATGCACTCTCCCGAACATCTGCAGCTTTGGAACCTTTTTGCTCGATGATGGAGAGGTCGCACTTATAAGTTCTGAAGACATCCGTTGTTTCTTTTATCTTTTCAAGATACGCCCTGCCTGGAAGAAGTTCCTCGGGTTCAATCGCCCTGTACCGCCCGCCTTGGTACCAGAAAAGTGGCAGGGTCGTCCACGCGCGCTCACATCTTGTGTCTTGCCTATGGGCTTCGTCAACAGTGTGTCCATTGCACAGCATGTCCACAGGAACATTGTCGCGTGGAGTCAGCAGGTTGATGGTGGCCTTAGTCAGGGTTGTGAGATGCGAAAAGACCGGGTCAGCAGCAGCGCGAAGTCCCAGTACCGCGTTTACCTTGACAATTTTGACTTGGTAGAGCGGCTTGATCCAGCTACCGCGGCTACGCTAGAAGGACAAGTGGCGAACACGGTTCTTGAACTGCGTGAGCAATACGTGGCACAGAACATACCACGCCACCCCAAGAAAGCGGTAGTACGAGCTCCCGTGGCTGAGATACAGGGAGCAATTGTTGATGGGGTTGCAGGCTTCGCCCAGCCAAAGGCGAGCAAGATCGCCTTATACTGCCAGTTGGCGTTGATGCTAGTTGAACAGGGAAAGTGCACTTTGAAGGAGCTCCAGGTGGTTTGCGGCGGATTCGTGTATTTCGCCATGTTCAGGCGCCCTTTGTTGTCGGTCTTGAATGAAGTGTGGAGGTTCATGGAGAAGGTGAAGCGATTGCCGCCTCTATTCTGCCCTTCCAGTGCCTCCCGAGGTAGCGAGGGAGGTGCTCATGTTCATCCTGCTGACCCCCTTGGCCCAGATCGACTTCCGATTCCCCTTCATGGAGCACGTGACGTGCAGCGATGCTTCAACCTCTGGAGGAGGAATCTGCGTGAGTGAAGGCCTCACGGGCTATGAGGAGGAGACGCACTCCAGATCCTTACGGTGGGATTGTTCGATGGGCTAGGTGCGTTGCGCTTGGCGGTTGATAGCTTGGGAGTTGGAGTGGCAGGACATTTGAGCGTTGAGAAGGAAGGCGCTGGGCGACGTGTTGTGGAGTCCATTGTGGAGGCTTTCTTCCCGGACACCACTTTCCATGACGATGTGAAGACCGTGGATGCTGAAGTGGTAGGAAGCTTGGCGATGCGGTTCCCATCTGTTGCCATGGTCCTCATTGGAGCCGGACCGCCTTGCCAGGGGGTGAGCGGCCTCAACGCCTCCAAGAAAGGGGCATTGCGCGGAGTTGCCTTTACCAGGAAGTACCCCGCATCCGAGATCTCTTCAAGGAGGCCTTTCCTTGGGCTCAAGTGCACCTTCTGATGGAATCAGTGGCCTTGATGTCAGAGGCCGACCGCGTGCTCATGAGCGAGGCAGTCGGCGTCGCTCCATACAAAATCGACTCTGGGGGAATCAGCCTATGTCATCGGCCGCGTCTCTATTGGGTTGATTGGGACTTGAGACAGGGGGAGGGAGTTTCCATAACCCCTCCCGGGCAGGACAGTCCTGAATGGACCGGGTGTGGACAGGTGATCCTCGAGGCTCAGGTTGAGGAAACGGCGTTCCTGGAGCAGGGTTGGTTTGTCACTGAGGGATTTCGGCTCCCGACATTCACCACATCTCGACCTCGTGAACAGCCTGGGTACCGACCCGCTGGGTTGGAACGTTGTGCAGCACATGAAAGGCAGAGGTGGCAGGATGACAGGTATCGCTTCCCCCACCGGGACCACAACATGTTATGGACTCGCAAAGGAGCATCACTGCGGCCCTCGGCGCAAGAAAGCGAGGCAATTATGGATTTGGGGTTATGTTCATACTTCACAGAACCCAGCCGACCGGCCCAGCCCGCGGCCGCTTGGACGAAAATGGGGAAAGTGAAACAACATTTGGAGGGCCGCAATAAGGAAGAGAGAGCCAAGAATAGACAAGCTTTAGGAACGTTGCGAGAGCTCACCGTCCAACCTCAAACTCGCAAGAGATACAGCCAAGCCAAACAAAAGTTCTATGACTACGCTCTGACCAACGGTTTGCGCATTCCCACCAAGTTCACGGCATTCGATGACATGCTTGCCGACTACGTTGAGCATTTGTGGAGCATTGGAGAAGGGCGTGCCCTGGCCAGCGATACGGTTGCTGGGTTCCAGGACACAGAGCCACGGTTGAAAGGACAACTGCAAGTGACCTGGAGACTCTTGAAGACGTGGCACGTCAATGAAATTCCAAGCCGAGCGCCGCCTCTCCCTGAAGAGTGCTTGTTCGCCATGCTTGGATGGTGCTTGTTCAACAAAGAGTACTCCTTCGGCCTCAGTTTGTTGTTGGGCTTTTATGGGTTGCTGCGAACGGGGGAGATTTTGGGTCTGTGTAACCACCACATTCTCATGACATCTCCCGACAAGCCGGCGGTAATCTCATTAGGTCTGACTAAGTCCGGTAAACGGGCTGGAGCAGCTGAAAGTGTTACAATTTCAGTCACCGTGGCTCTCCAGTGGCTATGGGCCTGGAAGCAAACTTCCTCCTCACGCTGCCCACTCACCCCTGCACCGCACCAGTGGCGTAAGAAGTTTTCCGAGCGCATTAAGGCTCTGCACTTATAGAGGAATTCGAAGGGGCCACCTGTTGGTTTGGCCGACACGGTTCGTTAGATCGGATCATTGTCTTGGGCAGGTGGGCCGCAGCGCGCACGGCGCGTTTGTACATCAACGAGGGCCTGTCCACGCTTGCTTCCCTTAAGCTACCCCGCAAAGCCTTAATTCCGTATGTTCGCACGTTTCACCAGCATGACCTTACTCAACTGCCGAGTGCGCATGAGCGTGCTAAAGCAGTTCAGGGGGAGGTGGAAGGAGTGGGTTCCCTGTGTGAAAGACCAGTGTGAGGGGGAAATTAATTTCCGTGTCAGGAGAAAGACATGTCGGTACCTGTGCC